CAGTGAAGGAAGAGCGTGTCTCTCATCCACTGAGGTACTGCTGTCCCAAGTAGGACAGTGGGATGGCCTGGCTCCACCGATGAACATCACTGCCTCACAACGTACAATAAAAATTTTAACTCCCCGGCCACTAGAATATAGCAATACTCACTAGGAAAGAAAAGCTAACTTAAAATTTTATCAGTATCCTAATTGGTGCAGGAAACACCTTTGTACACAGTGTCAGGGAGCTGGTGCCTTGCATGTCTGGAAAGAAGGCTTAAACTGAGTAACTCTGACAATCTTTGGATCCCAATTACTGGAGCAAAAGGGAAGGGGAGGAAGATGGAGGGGAAAGAAAAAGGAAAGGAAGAAAAGGAAGAAAGCACATCAGTAGTTTTCCATGTCTGCTCATTTTCTGAAAACTCTACGGGGTCAACAGGAACTCTAGTGCAGGGCCAGTGAGAGTGCACACTGGTATAGCTGCTTCCTAAAATGACTGGGGAGTAGCTCAGAAAGTTATTATTATTTAAAGTCCTTAGAACATTCTTATTCTGTTATGATCCAGAAAGTTGTTTTGACCCCGAAAATCTGGAAGATTTGCAATCAAGGGGAACTGGTGGATAAGTAAGGTAAAATTATGTGGGGGAATGCAGAATCTAAACACGAGAGGAAGAGAACTGCATAAAAATTTAAATCATTAAAAAGTTTATTCTTGACTGTTTTTAACTTGACAGTTATGGGTGTTAAAACACTTTAGTATTTATATTCCATTTTATACGTTTAAAAGGATGATGCAATGGTTCTATTTTAACATATCTACATTTATCTGAAAATGCAATCTATATCATTAGAAACTATTTAAATATATGATAATATATGCGTCCATTTCAAATGCACAAGGGTCTACACAGTTTTTCAAAATTCTTTGAAAACAGTCTGGAGGTTTCTCAAAAAACTAAAAATAGAGGTACCATATGATCCAGTGATCCCACTCCTGGGCATATATCCAGAAAAGACAAAAACCATGATTCGAAAAGATACAGGCACCCCAGTGTTCACAGCAGCACTATTTACAATAGCGAAGGCATGAAAGCAACTTCAATGTCCATCAACAGATGACTGGATAAAGCAAATGTGGTACATATATACAATGGAATACTACTCAGCCATAAAAAAAGAATAAAATAATGTAATTTGCAGCTACACAGATGGACCTAGAGATTATCATATTAAGCAAAGTCAGGACTGGATAAAGCAAATGTGGTACATATATACAATGGAATACTACTCAGCCATAAAAAAAGAATAAAATAATGTAATTTGCAGCTACACAGATGGACCTAGAGATTATCATATTAAGCAAAGTCAGAAAGAGAAAGACAAATACCAGATGATATCACTTATATGTGGAATCTAAAATATGACACAAATGAACCTCTCTATGAAACAGAAACAGACACACAGTCATAGAGAACAGACTTGTTGCCAAAGGGGAGGAGGGGGTAGAGGAGGGATGGTTTGGGAGTTTGGGATTAGCAGATGCCAACTATTATATATAGAATGGATAAACAGCAAGGTCCTACTGTATGGCACAGGGAACTATATTCAGTATTCTGTGAGAAACCATAATGGAAAAGAATATGAAAAAGCATATGTGTGTGTGTGTGTGTGTGTGTGTGTGTGTGTATACCTGAATCACTTTGCTGTACACAAGAAATTAACACAACATTGTAAGTGAACTATACTTAAATTTCCGCAAGTTTATTCCAACATTCAAATGGGTTATCCAGCATATTTGAAATGTATCTAGTTCTTTATACTTCATTTTTGACATCATTGATCCAGAATATATGGGATTTACAGCGTCTACAGCAATACTGGGAAAGCCTAAAGATAGTTTTATGTGCTCTTTTCACAGCAAACCTCTGTCAATCTCCGGAAAAGTGGTGATCCTGGATTTCTGTATAATGGAACAGGGTTCCTCAGGCCAGGGTGAGAAACTGGCCTCAAGAGCACCTTTTCCTGGATATTTCTGTTGATACACCTGAAATTCTTTTCAATTTGGGGAATTTGAAGTCCTTGCTAAGCTGCCTAGAAGGATAAATCCAATTCTTTCTTAATGACATTTTATTTATAAGCCTCGTTTTCCACTTACATGGTCTGAAGTCTCTAGATGAAGCAAATTGCCATCAGAGTTCCCAGAGAGACAGGCAAACGGAGAAATGGCTATTCTTCCTTCCTTGCAGCTCATCAAGTGAGACACAAGTTGTGAGTCTTCACACTCTTTACCTGAGAAATCTGGCCATAAGAGGTTGGCACAAATCAGCTTTGAAGATTAAGCCAGATTGCCAAGCCTTACACACCTGCTCTAGACCAGGAGGCAAAGGGGAGCCATTCAACTTTCAATGACCAACGCTGTAATGAAGACTGAATAAGACAGGTCACATACAGTAAGCAGCACATCCTGGCATAGAATACATTCAATAAATGTTAGTTATTAATACTATTATCAACAGTATAAAATTGTGTATTATATTTTAGTTGCTTTGATCAACAGGTCATAAAAGACTAAATTTAAATTGTATCCTCTTTTAGCCCAGAATTGTTGTTATTACCTTGGTCCTTTTTCCCACCGAACTCAGACTTGGCTGCAGAATCCTTCTAGACAGGCTGATTCAAGCAGCCACCATCAGCAGGTTTGGAAATGGCGTATGAGAAGCATGTTTTCCATTCTTCCCTTTGTAAAGCACCGGGGGGCGCATTCAGAGTCGGCTCTCGTTTGTGACTGAGGCCGAACCTTCCCGCTCCTTTCCTTCCTCCTCTGGATGCTCGCCACACCCTCTGCCACTGTCTACTTCCTGCTTTCACGCTGTCCGGGAAGCTACATGGTCCTCCTCCCTGACTTCTTCCAGATGAGGATGTTACGAAACCAGGAAATGGCTAGCCAGAGCTCACCCCTTTCCCTGTATCCCTGTCACCGTTTCCAGTTTAGTTTCTCCCGGAGGATTTCCATCCAATAGCTCATGAAAAGTAAGAGCAAAGATTAGGAATGTTGACTACGTGCTACGTGCTGTTTGGAGATAAGTTACAGACATTGGCTTAACTATTTAAAGCTCACCCAAACTAGGTGGATAATGTTATCCTCCTTATTTATCTGGTGAGAAAATCGAGGCAGGAATATGGAGTCCCCTGCTCGAAGTCCCACTGCTAACAAGTAGCAGAGCCAGAGCTTGGACTCAGGTCATATGCAGAGAGTTTATGCTCACGACCACCACGCACAGCTCCTCTCAAGGAAAAAGTGACAGAATCGCTTCTTGTTTCTCCTCATCTCATAGGTGTCCTTACTCCATTTTCCAGGCTTGTCCCAAACCCAACCTTTAATCAAGATGGTTTATAAATGACTCTATTCAATGTCATTCTCCACTGTCCTTTACTTAATTCTAATAATCATACCTTATTCCTTGAGACAGCAGAAAGGATCCCCTTATTCTAAGGCAGACTGATCTTTCCAGGGCTCTACTCTTCTTATGGGATAAAATGTTCTTAGGCAAGATTATTTATTTTTTAAACTGTTCCACAATGGAGCTAAGATACACTTACCTATTTTTGACAATGGGAGCTGATGTTCTTGTTTCATATCAGCCAGTTTGGAAACAATCAGTAGGATAGAGGCAAAGTCCTTTGTCACGTTTGTGTTATACTCATCTAGAGCAGCCTTGAAGTCCTCAGGGAGATCCCCCAGAAACACCTAAATCATCGAGGAGGTCAGCAAAAAAAAAACAAAAACAAAAAAACTGGAGGCCAAATATTTTTCAGAGAGATCTACGTACCATCCTTGAAAATTGAAAGTTTAGAAGAACTGCAAAGAACAATGTAATATAATTCTATAGTTATCTACCTTTTCAGTAATGAAACTGTTCCATTCTTTCATCTATGAAATTCAGGTGAAATTCATTTTTTATTCCTATTTGTGTTATAAAAACAAATACCTTTACTCTTAAAATTTTGTTTTCATGCTATTTAATCAAAACTCTTTTAAATAGAAGTATGCCCTCAAATGACATTAGACTTGTGAATATTTCAAAGAATCTAGTGACATGTTTGGAAAGCAAGCAACAATATAGAGTCCCCTTTGTGCCTGGAATAAACCTCACTTAATTGTGAGGGTCTTTAAAACCCCACTGGATTCCTTCTTCTAATATTTTGTTAATTATTCTTCCATCTATATTTTCATAAAAGAGATACATCTCTAATTTTTTATAATGTCCTTGTCAAGTTTTGATATTAAGTTTAAGTTTTGCTCCCTCTTTTTATATTCTCTAGAAGAGTGTGTGAAAATTTGCTGTTATTCTTTAAATGTTTAAAAAAGTTCACCACTGAAGCCATCTGAAGCTGGGTTTTTTTAAATGGGAAATTTTAAAACAATAATTGGTTACATTTCTTTAATAGCTATCAGATATGAAATTATTCATATAGTCCTTGGTTAGTTTTAGAAAGTTGCATTTTCTAGGAATTTTCCCATTTTGTCCAAATAGTCAAATGTTAGATGAAATGAAAGATTTAAATGTAAGACCTAAAACTGTAAAATTAATAAAAGAAAATATAGCGACATTGGTTTTGGCCATGATTTTTTAACGTCAAATAAAAAAAAAAAAAAAAAAAAAAAAAAAAACTCAAAACGGATGAAAGATTTAAATGTAAGACCTAAAACTGTAAAATTAATAAAAGAAAATATAGCGACATTGGTTTTGGCCATGATTTTTTAATGTAACGTCAAAAGTACAGGCAACACAAGTGAAAATAAACAAGTGGGACTACATCAAACTAAAAACCTTCTGCACAGCAAAAGAAATAATCAACAGAGTGAAAAGGCATTTCTGGAATGGGAGAAAATATTTCTAAACCAACCATCTGATAAGGGGTAATATCCAAAATACGTAAGAATCTAGTACAACTCAATAGCAAAACAAACAAACAAAAAAACAAAAGAAAAACGGGCAAAGGACTTGAAAAGACACATCTTCAAAGAAGGCATACAAATTGCCATCATGTATATTAAAAGTTGCTCAGCATCACTAATCATCAGGGAAATGCAGATCAAAACCACAATGAGATAGCACCTCATAACTGTTAGAATGGCTATCATCAAAAAAAACGAGATTATAAGGGTTGAAGAAAAATTTTAAATGTAGAAAAATTCGAAACGTATACAATGTTGGTGGGAATGTAAATTGGTGCAGCCACTATGAAAAACATACAAAGTTTTCTTTAAAGCAATTAAAAATAGAACTATCATATGATCCAGCAATTCCACATCTGGGTATATATCCAAAAGGGTTGCAACCAGGATGTTGAAGAGATACCTGTACATCCATGTTCACTGAAACATTATTCACAACAGGCAAGACATACAAACAACCCAAGTGTGTATCAACAAGATGAATCGATAAGAAAGTGTGCTGTATACATACAGTGGAATATTATTCATTCTTAAAAAAGGAGATCAACATGGATGTACCGAGAGGACATTATGTTAAGTAAAATAAGCCTCACAGAGGACAAATACTGCATGATTCCACTTACATGAGGGACCTGAAATAGTCATACTCATAGAAGCAGAGAATATTGTCAGGGGCTGGGTGGAGGTGGAAGTGGGGAATTGTTTTTCATTGAATATAAATTATTGTTATGCAGGCTAAATAATTTCTGTAGCTCTTCTCTACAACATAGTACCTATGTTAAAGATACAGTACCGTGTACTTTAAACTACATTAAGAGGATAAATCTCATGGTAAGTATTCCTAACTAAGTAAATAAATAAAACCAGAAGAAAAATTTTGGACATGGTGGATATGTTTAGTGCCTTTGTTGTGGCAATGATATCACAGGTGTATGCATATGTCCAAACTCATTAACATGTATATATTAAATGTATGCAATTTTTATATATCAATTATACCTCAAAAAAACTTTAAAAATAAGGTATGCATATCCTCTTGATATGTCATGAAACCAATCACAATATATTTACCCTGCTTTAACTTATGTCTAAAACATACGCTAAGTATCTGTACACATTCATGCATAAAAATAAACAGAGTGGAGTGAAAATTATATTCCCATTTTCTTCTACCTTCCATTATTTTGGTCAGAAAGTCAGCTATCAATCTTATTATTGCTTTATTCAAGGAAATGTCTATTTCGGCTCTAGGTGATTTGTGTTTTTCTCTTTGTTTTTGATTTTCAGTAGTTTTAGTTTAATGTTTCTTTATCCTTCTTGAAGTTGAGTAATCTTTTGAAACTATGGAGTGCTGTCTTTCATCAGCTTGGGAAAATTCCCAGCTATTTTTTTTTTTTTTTCCTGCGGTACACGGGCCTCTCACTGTTGTGGCCTCTCCCGTTGCAGAGCACAGGCTCCGGACGCGCAGGCTCAGCGGCCGTGGCTCACGGGCCCAGCCGCTCCGCGGCATGTGGGATCTTCCCGGACCGGGGCACGAACCCGCGTCCCCTGCATCGGCAGGCGGACTCTCAACCACTGCGCCACCAGGGAAGCCCCCCAGCTATTATTTTTGAATATACCCTCCGGCCATTTTTCTCCCTCCTCTTCTTCTGGGATTGCCATTATATTACATTAAACCTTTGGAATGTGATCCACGTTCTCACATGCTATTGCTTTTATTTTCATTTTTTTCTCCCTGTGCTACAATTCAGATACCTTTTATTGAGCTATCAGTCAACTCACTGATTTTGACTTCTGATATGTATATTCTGAGCAGACAGTACATTTTTCAATTCTGGACTGTCCAATTAATTATCTGGTGAAATTCTCTATTCTTTCATCAATTTTGTAATTATCTAGTGAAAGTCTCCATCCTTTCATCAATTCTATCTCTTCCCCCATTTTCCTTATATTCTAACTTCAATATCTGAATCATCTCTGTGTTGGTTATTATTGCCTGCTTTCATTCTGCTAACTGGTCATATGTTCTTGCTTACTCACTTTTTTAGGTTTTTTTTTTTTTCTTTCACCAGAAGTGTTGGTAAAAGGACCTGATAGACTTCAAACAATGTTATCTTCCACTGGAGTGAGCTCCCCAATTTTGTGTTTGGCCAAGTGAGTGAAGATGTGATCACCTCAGTCTAAGTAGCGATTGAAGTGGATTGATACTGTTTTCCAGTTTTAATAAGTCTCAGTCTACATCTGGTGCATCTCTGCTCTTAAGCCCTCTTGGGTTTTGAGTATGAGGCTGGTGGGTCTCAGTCTTCTCAGCCCTAAAAGATTCCCAAAGACCTACTTCATTCCTGTAGAGCTTCATAACCTACATTTCCATCTTCCAGCCCTAGATGGCTTTAAAAATGCCTTGAGGGTAATATAAGCCTATGAATAAATTCAAACTCTTCCCTCTAGTGGGCTTTTATTTAATAAATGCTACAAGACTGCAAGAAATGTGGTGTAACACCCCGACATTTGATGCAGATATGACCCAGTGAATGTCCTGAGTTAACACTCCCTCAAGTGTCTAGTCTGTCACTCCAGCCTCATGGAATCACTAAAAGCTTTATTGTTTTGTTTTGGGTTTTTTTCTCATAGGAGAGGCTCTCTGGATATGCTAAGTACAACTTTCAACCTCGTCCAGAATCAACAAGTTCTTTGAGAGAAAAATCATGGTTGGAGAGTCCAATCACACCTTGGATAAGTTCTTGCCATTTTATAATTTTAGCCAATATAATCCTCATCCCTTCCACAGCTCTCTGTTGCAACAGGCGTGATGGCCACCTAGCATGTCCCGCCTGGAAGTGCTCAAATTTCTAATAATCTTTAAAGGAAAAAAGAGAGAGAAATAGGAGGCCTCCACTCAAAACCTTTTTTTATTTTGCTTTTTTCTGTCATAACCATCTGTGTAAGAATAGAGATACTGACTTGTCTTTTATAAGGAAAATAAGTTTATTTAACCAAAACAAATAATAGTCCAAGAATGTACATGTGATGAAAAAGATATGAAGATGAAAAGTCAATGACTAAAATTGTGTTCACTGGTCTAGAGAACATTCTGTGAGGGCTGAGAATGGTAACTTAACATTGTGATGGTAGACAATATAGATGAACTCTTCTCTTTATGTCCTTCTTTGTCACCTTTTACCAAGGTTATCTGGTATAATAACCAGCCCTTCCCACTTTCTCAGATTCTAGTGAAATACATTAGTAATAATATTTGATGCTGATTTAATGACAGGGAATCATGATCAAAGAAGTCATTGCAAATAAAATCGGACAACAGTCTGTGTGTCAAGGGATGATTTCTTAGGTGACTATTCTAATATTTTTTCAGTGAGAACATTATAGTTTACAGCGTACACTTCCTGTCCATAGACCTACTGCAAGGTAAAAAGATGCTAAAAGAACTAGAGATTCAATGATGGGAACTATTAGTTCATTTTAATGTATAATTACGTACATTTTTTTTCTTTAGCCACTGATTGCTACACGTTTATACAATCCAATGGAAAACATGAGCAGAAATTTTTATCCCATTTTTCCTCAAGGCATTTAATCTTTTGATAGATTTATAGAGGAGACATGTGAATTACAGATTAAATATAACACTGATTACAGAAGAACAAATTATTTCTATAAAACAAATGAACAAATTATTTCTATAAAACAAATGAACTCTACATTAATAAAATTCTACTGCTGTGGAATCATTTACGGTAGGATCTGTTAAATTATCTTAATTATTTAATGTTATCAGAATCATAAATTTTACCTTGGATTGATAAAACTTGAGCGTAGCATCTTGGAACTTTGCTGGAAGATATTTTCTGCCAAACAGATTTGCCAATACTAACACTAGCTTTTCCATAACATCTTGAGAAAAATGTTTTGAGCCTATACAGAATAAAATACCTTGTCATAACCTTGTCATAAACATAAAAAGTGCATTAATCCCATTTTTAATATTTAAATTGAACAATACAAATTGAATGTCATATTGCATGTTATTTCACGGAGACTAGAAATTTGTTAACAAGTATAGCGACTAGGGAATGACTATCTCTGCTGGCAGTTTGACACCTGTGCCTTCTTTTTCCTTCTTGCCGCTCCCCCTCTACCTCAGACTCTTGCAACTCCAACCAAAGACCCTTGTCCCCTTACCTGGGACCTTCCTCTTTAGTCTATGACTGGTTTTCTTAAGCATTTAATGATCATGATCTCACCTCCTCAAAAGCCTCTGATGGCCTCTCAATGCCTCATAAACAAAATCCAATCTCCTCAGCCAAGCACGTAAGGGTTTCCAAAACTAACCCACAAATAACCGCCCGGCCCCCTCCCCTCCCCTCCCTGCCACTGATGTTAATATACTGTCAACCCCTAACACAACATGGTAAAGCTCCAACATGGTATACTCCAATTATATATATATCTATATATCTATATATCTATATCTATCTATCTATCTATCTATCTATATATCTCCCATCAACCTGACTCACACCCATCCTCCACAGCACGTGACTGTTACATGGTCGTGTTAAAAAGTGCCACCTTTAATAACTTGTTCATATTTGAATCTTGGCTCAAGACTTACAATATTTACGTTTTGTGACCACGGCAATTTGTTTAACTTCTCTGCTTCCTCATGTACAAAATACTAACGTCCATATTATCCGCCTCATAAAGCTTCTGTCTCCATGTTTATAACCGCACACACCTCCCTATACACACACACACACACACACACACACAGCAATAAACACAACTGCACTCCTTGTTGCCTGAAATTATTTCTCCTCTTACAGAGCTTTTGGGAGACAGAACTTCCTGAGGATCCTGGTTTCACAGAACAATGCACATTCAGAGCCTAGTGACATTGTGTAAAACAGATTGTTCCTGCCAGTTAACAATGGAAGATAAAACAAAGTTATGCTGTGAAAGGCAAGGAAATCACCAGGCATCAGGAACTACAACGAACTGAAGCACAGAGACAGAAGCATTTCTTTCAGGGACATAGTTTAAAGATCTATGGTTTAGTTATAAAAATCAAAGGCTTTTATAAAAACTGCATTTGGGCTTCCCTGGTGGCGCAGTGGTTGGGAGTCCGCCTGCCGATGCGGGGGACGTGGGTTTGTGCCCCGGTCCGGGAGGATCCCACATGCCGCGGAGCGGCTGGGCCCGTGAGCCATGGCCGCTGGGCCTGCGCGACCGGAGCCTGTGCTCCGCGACAGGAGAGGCCACGGCAGTGAGAGGCCCGCGTACCGCAAAAATAAAATAAAATAAAATAAATTAAAAAAATAAAAACTGCATTAAATGAAACATTAGATAGGCTTTACAAATGGAATTCACAGAAAATGTACACAATTTGACAAAAGCAAATCTGGGGGAAATAAGTTTCTAGATCATGCAACTAATATGATATCAGCTATTGAAATACACTATAGAATTATATTCAAAGAAAATATGATTGGAGGAAAATATTCACAAATATCAACAGTGAATATTTTTTTAACATGATGGTTTCCTACACCCTTTTTCTATGATGAGCATATATTACATTTAATTAGAAAAATATTTATCAAAAAATCATATATTAATATTTCTGAATCCTGGAATCAAGGAAACTCTCAAGTTAATAAGAAGTTGTTATTTTTAAATAGTTGCCACAAAATATGGCTTTCTCCTATGTAATCTATATTAGTAAGTATATAAAACTTTATTTTATCTAATTTGGTATCTCCAAATTATCTAAATATTAACTTGCATTTTCTTTGTAGAAAAAAAAAATTTCCTGAAGTGTTAGCTTTCACTATAGGATCTTTGCTGTTTTTAGACCATACGTATGAAACGTCAAGCTTACCTTTCCCGGTTGGCTGACAGAGATTATGGAAAAGGCCTCTTACAAGAAAACTGACGAAAACAAGATTAGAAGGCTCGTGATAATGCAAATGTGACACAAGTCCAGCAAAGCCTGTAGGATTACCTTCTTGATCTAAATAGCCCTAAAGAACAGACATAATTTATTAGTTTGACTCAACTCAACCACATACCTTAATTAATAGACAACTTATTAAATGCCAGTTTAAAATAGTACTTAATACTGAGAACTAAAACACTGCTGCCATATCAGTAAGCAAAAGATGTTGCAGCCATCAAGCCATCACATTACAGCCGCCCAGACGGTGAGCCCTGAGGGAACTCAGGATGGAGACAGGATGCTCCACCATCAAGCCCTCAGCCACTGCAGCCCCCGCAATGGTGCACCTGAGGACACTCAGGATGGGAAAGCACAGGACACTGGCCCCAGAGAGCTGAGGTGCAGATCAAAGGAATGATTTCAGTGAGCCCAGACTCTTGCATCTTCCCATACACGGAAGAGCACTAAATTCCTTAACTTGAGGTGCCTGGCTTTCTTTAATTAACAGTCATCTTTTGAAGCTCTGACTGGTCCTTATTGCAAAAACCCCTATATATCCTAGCTCCTCCCTTGCCTCTTGGGAGCAGCCCCTCAAGTGTTATTTGAGACGCTATGTTCTGGGCTTGAAGTCCTAAGAATGTCCACCGAATAAAACACAATTCTCAACTTTCAGGTTGTGCATTTTTTTTTTCAGTCCACAATACCAACATAAGAGAGATTAGTACTCATTACCTGGCCCACTTTGATAATTAAATCAACTGTAAGTAGTAGGAATCCTTGGCTATAACCTTGGAAAGACTGGAATTAGTTCAAGATGATGAGAAACAGAGATGGTACCGATCCTATCTCACAAAAAGGCAAACACGGTCCTACCTCCTTCACCAGGAACTGCAGGGAGAACAGAAAGTACAGTTTCAACATCTCCAGTGCCCGGGGCTGCTTGAAGGAGAGCAGTGAGTGCTTGAGCACCGACAGCACCTGAGGAGAGGAGGACGTTAATTCACACTGTGCTCCTGCTGAGAAATACACTCCTGGATGACAAGAGAGGTGCATTGGAATTTAACATTTTTTCCTGCATATTACGATGCTTTGACATCTTAAAAACCCCGCTGGCTGGGGAGAGACTGATACTCCCAGGGCTACTTTCTAAAGATAACAACAACTTGATAAAGCTTTGCTTTTCCTCTACAAACCAACCAATGCCAACTTTACGCCCCACCTGCTGCCTTACCTGAATCTCACACACCAAGCCAATATTCCCCTGTCCTAAAGCACCCCAGGTGCCAGGCAAATAGAGACCACCGCAGCTCCCAAAGCCCACCCGAATTATTCCAACTAGCCAGTCCCAAACTATTTACTCTGAGATGCCTCGCCTTCCCATGGACCCTCTCCCTCCCCTCGTGTCTCTTGCCTCCCGACCATCCTGGGGTCTCAAGAAGCCCTGCAGGGTGCACCCTGCCTGCATTTCTAGGGCCTCTTGAGTTTCTACTTTGTTTCCCTGAGCCTCTCGTCTGTCTCCTCCTGTGGCCACATCCGAGTGACCAGCTCATAAAAGAATATAAAACAATCAAATATATATTACTAATATCCATTTTACCCCACAGATACCAGACCCACCTAAGATTCAGTGGGATTTCACATGACTTGTTTTACCATATTCTTACATGGCACACCCTTCCCCTAGCAAAACGGAACATATAAAACAGAATCATTGGAAATGAAACACGTTGCCAAATAATCTGGTAATATATGTGGATCCAGTTTAAGAGCTTACAATCTTGGGTTGTTCTGGAAGAAAATACGATATTATTGATACATTATCCCATGTCCTGCAGTATCGTTGCAAAAACGATGGAATTAGGTTGATCGAGGTCAAAGTAATAAAAATATTGAGACACTAAAGCAGCATCGAGTTAACAGTTCAGATATCTTTCAACTGCTCACTACAACGTTTATGAGGTTCAAGTAAAAGGAGAATTTCCCAACAGCATCGAAATTAAACGTGGCTGCCTTTAGGCCTGAGAGTTCATAGTACCTGGGAAGAATCTCTAGTCAATGTAAGGCCAGGGGACTAGGAGGGAGAAGGAAGGAAGGAAGGGAGACGGGCAGGGAGGGAGGGAGGGAGGGAAGGAGGGAGGAAGGAAGGAAGGGATGGGGTGTACCACCCATCACCTCTACTTTGGGGTGATACGTTTTCAGGGAGCCAAAAATGCCCTTTCCTACAACCTCTCCTCTCTCTCGCTCTACATTTAGAGCAACAGCCAGGAAACAGCAGAGTAGTAAGAGGGTGAGCAACTTCTGGTGGTTCACTGTAACTCTGGAGATGCAGACCACGTCACTAAAGTCTTATTACGACAGTAAGAGTTCTGACTGCAGTGCCTACTGCAGTTCGTGGTGACGAACGGCCTCCACAGGACCAATCTGTGGACCAATCTGTCAGTGACATTGGCAGAAGATGAACTTTCAGTCCAGAAAGCTACATAATTTGAAAATATGCTAAATGCTGAGGTTTGGGCCAAAAGCTATTCATCTAGCTTCACATTTAAAAGGGTATTTAAACAGCACTGCAGTGAGCAGAGAGTGAAACCAAAAGAAAAATCATGCACCCTCTTTCTTGGCAAACCACCAGATTTGAAGGGATGTACTTTCCTTCAAAAGTGAGAAAATAGAAAAACCCACAAGAGATCAGTTCTTTTAAGAAAACAGACCAACTTCCTAAAATTATTCAGTCATGCTACAACTATTTATTGGGTGTCTGTACCAAGAATTAAGACAAACAAACAACTCTGGCCTAGGGTGCTTACATTCCAGTGGGAAATATAGAGAAAATAAACAAAAACATGGTAGAGATGGTAGATATAGACAGAGACAGAGATTTGCAGCTGTGTAAGGCGTGGTGTGTGCTATGTATAAATGAGCAGGGGTCACAGTTGGCACGGCAGACGGGGGTCCATCGACAGCGCAGGAGGAGTGGTGGCAGCAGGCTAACAGCAGAGCAAGAAACTGAACAAGATGGAAGAGTAAGACTGTGCACACATCTGGGCGAAGGTTCTGGAAGCAGCAGAAACAGCAAAGCCGTGCCCCTCAGACTGTTACGTGCTTACTGCCGGTGGAGCAGGTAGTGGGTTCGTGTAGGAGAGCAGGACCTGGTGAGTCCGACAAGGGAGCCTGGGACCAGGCTCTGTAGAAACTTACAGACCATCACAAGAACACTGGCTTCTACTCAAAAGTAATCTGACCTATGAAAATGGGTTTTCTTAGAAAAACATATTTTGGAAAAATTCTTTGGCATCCTCAGTGGAGGCCAAAAGATATGACCTCTTATGAAACAAGAGCAACCGCATAAGGTAAATGGACAATATAAATTGACGTTTAAAAAATAATCCATTATTATGATATGAAAGGGTGACATAGGAAATAGTGCACAATCTCAGGGAAACAAGTCCAGCAGCAGAATGAACAGCCACGTGGTATCCCTAAGGAGTAGATCTGAAACTTCAGAGAGTGCAGCAGAGACGCAGGAGATAAACTCAAGTGTTCTCTCATAAAGAAGAAAAACAACAGTGGAGAACAGGAAAACGACTTTTGATTTTAAAAGCTATAACTTTTGCTGGAAACTGAAAAAATCAAAACGGAAGCAAATATCAAAGATCTAACTTAAGAAATCTTTTCTTAGTTCCAGAATGACCTGAGCCCTGCACAATGCAAAGGTTCTTAACACTACTGAACTGTACACTTAAAACCGGTTAAGATGGCAAATTTAATGTTACATGTATTTTACCGCGATAAAAACTTCTGAGCATGAAGACTGAAAGTTTTCATCATGTAATAACTAAAACATCAATAAGACATAAAAGGAAAGACACACAAAATAGAAAGTTCTGGGGAAAAGAATTTAAATATACAGACTTTTAAAAATACTCATATAATTACATAGGCAGAAAGAAATAAACTATAAGGAAACAGGAATTAGCACAGTTCCTCTAGAGGAGATTTCAAGAGTCTGTTCCTCTATGACAGTAAATGCCAGAGGGCAGTGAAGTGATTCTAGCTTGATGTGATAAGTACAAAGAATATTCCAAGAAATTTACGCCCACACTTGAGTCTTTTATGTGTGAAGGTTACCGAGAGAGCTCCTCACACAGGCCAAGACAAAGAAGACCAGCGACTCAGAAAACCTTTTTGAAAAAAATTTAAAAGTTTGCAAGAAGACGTATGCTTCTCTCCCGTATAGAGGTAAAAGGTAAGAACTCAAACATGGGGAAGTTTTGGTCTAAAACGACATGCACCTGGTCTGTAGGAGCATCAACAACATAACAAGAGGCTGCTCATCACAAAAGTCCTCGAAGAATCCTCACCTTGGCAAACAGGATCCAATTTAGAGGGCAGGATAATCAATACACAAACCCAGGGAGGAGTGGGTCCCTTTCACAATGCATCTTCATAAGGATGAAGCCAAATATTTAATTATGAATTTTAAATTTCTCATTGTGGGATTAGACTCAAAACATTTATCTCAGCAGAAAACTTCACGGTAAGTCTACAACCATAGTCTTAAGTCCAACTAAATATAAATATATCTTTGCAAGGAACCAAATACACACCTATACTTAGAAATATGACTGAAGAAAATAGCAAAATGAGAATGTGACTGTTTTTGGAGAGCCAAACTAGGTGTAGGTGCTTTTTTTCTTCCTTCAACTTTCTGCATTATCCAAATATTCTTTGATGAACTTGGGTTACTTTTTTACGAAAAATAAACTCTTTTATTACAAAATCATAAACACAAATCTTTTTGTAACCCAGATCTTTTAAGATCCATAGCTAGCACCCTTCACTCCTATGGGGCAATGTTTATCATACGTGAAAATAGTAATCTGGGGCAAATCCAAATGCCCCTTGGCCATAAATTCTATGATTGACAGAGACAACAAAACTAATTATTACTCTCCCCACCCACCCCCAGTTCTCTACCAGCCAAGACACTAGCAAGCATTAAAGAATGGTGACTCCAAGAAGCTATCATTACAGATGTAAAAAAGAGTCCGGCCAGTAATGGAGACTCAGCCCCAGAAACCATCCCCACAGTACCTTTGCCTTAGCATCCTCAGGGTCATCTGCCTTGGAAGCCAGAAGCATGAGTCTCAGGATCAGGGATATGCTGAGAGGGAACTGCCCTCTCAGTTCAGGGACATTGGATTTGATGAGCTTTTCGATTTTAGGGAGTGGGATACCAAAGAAATACACATCTCCCCCCAGGTCTTGGCCTCGTCGTCCGGCCCGTCCAGACATCTGAAAACAGAATAGAATCACAAAGTAAATCTTTCCTGAACAGTTTCTCCATCACAGTATAAGAACTGAGCCTTTTATACTGCATTAGAGCAAGTACACTGTGACGATGTCCAACCATTACAGAACTGAGTCTAAAATCCAACTGGGTACCAGGCAGGAAATTCACCGGGGCTGAGACAGAGCTGAAAATGAGACATTCGTCATCCTGATGTCCTCATTTCATTCCCAAAACTGTGCTAGATATTTGTGTAATGATATACAGAAGACAGAACAGCAAGAAGAAAAAAAGAAGAGACCCTGCTTTCCAGTTCACTTACAGCTGAACTTCCGAGTCTTCCTCTCTTCTTTCCCACCCCCCTCCTTTGTCCCTTTTCTCTCTCTCCCCTACACACATGTGCGCTGAGTGACAAATCACCATAAAAATTGTGCACAAGCTGAGGAGATGCAAGAGTGAGATAAAATTCAGAAACGCTACTTGTACAAAGGAAGTTAAGAACAAACTCGTTACAGAAGTTATATTAGGTCTCCTTTAGTAAGTGCTCAGAATGTGCTAAGTCCTTTACACCTTTTTCATAAAGACCCTACAACCACTACCCTATGAGGTGAGTGTAATCATTGTCTGCATTTTACAGTAGAGTAACTGGGGCTTGGGAAATAAGAAACTCACTGTAAGCAAACACCAAGAAGTGAAAGACCCAGGACTCCAACCTTGGCATTTCCACTGCCAAGTTCACCATCCATAACGCCGGCCCCAGACTCCTAAATGAGAGATTCCCAAAGATGATATGGGGGGAGGGTTCATGCCCAGAACAGCAGCAGAAGGAGAAATCAAAAGGACAGGGGTTGGTAAAATGGAGGAAAAACTAAGGATGTTGTATTGGGTAGGAACAAGGCCCATCAGGGAATAGAAAGGAAGTGTTCCGTGAGGAAGTGGGGTGGGCGGGCGGCACTTGGATAAAACCCGTAATGTTGGCTGATAGATGTAGCAGAAATATTCACCAAGTGATCCTGAGCAGGAAAACCGTCTGCGTTCAGGACACAGTGGAGTCAGGAGACCTGAAAATTAGGAAAACTGTTTAATGACTACAAGCTAAAAATGTATGATGCAAGACGGCGGAAATGGACATTGCAAGGCCAAAATCAAAAGCACTGGACGAGAATAACAAAGTCGGCTTGGTAGTACAGTGCACAGCAGGGGCAAAGACAAGAGAAGCATGAAAGAGAACCCCAGGGCGTAAACTCAGGGGCACAGGGGCTGGACGAGGAGAGAGTCCTCAAGCACCTTGCACCTGTGTCTTCCCTACAAATCACTTCACTGAATTCTTGCAAATGCCATGGGACCGTCCTTATCATTCCTCTTCTGGAGATAGCCAAGAAGGACCAGGCCGGTTAGAGATCTCACCCAAGGTCACGTAACACCAAGCCCGTGACCGGCCCGCTACACCACAGCTAAACGTGACTGTCAGGTTTGCAGGAAAGTCCCCGTGAATTGCAGCACGTTTGCAAACCAAAGTGTCGCCTTTCTTACTCTTTCAATTGCCCTATTTAGGGAGTTTCTGCATATCACAATACCTGTCTGTAGTTTAAAGCATCCAGGTAGACCGAGTTTTGAGCAAAAACCACAGATTTACAGGGCATGTTGATTCCTAAAGCCAGTGTCCCCGTAGCGGTCACCACCTAGAAGGAGAATAAAACAGTTACGTCATAAAATAGCATTTCAGTGCAATGCCATGGAGTGACTGAAAGCCTTGAACTACAGGCTCTAGCACGTTGGCGTTCTTGCTACGTCATATTTCACTGCTGAGGGCCTTGCCCCTCACTCTGCTCTGCCCAGAACATTCTTCTCCCACGTATCCATTTATCTGGTTTGTTCAGTCCTCCACTCAAATGTCAAAAAGAAATTTCTGGACCACCACATCCAAAATGATGGCCCCGTCCTCATTATGCCTCTACTCATGGCATTAATGACCACCTCAAGTGTATCATCTGTGTGTGTACTGTCCTGCCTCAGGCTCCAAGCCCCTTTCACTATCGTGTACCCCACCCCCCAAAAAGAGTACCAGGCACATGACAGGTGCTCAGGAAATACTTTGTAATAAACGACTAGAAAGGGAACTTCCCACAACAGGGAATAATACTGTTATAGACCCACTTACGGGCAGTGGCCAGCCTCACCCACTCTAACTTACCTGTGAGGATTATTTCTATGGAAATAAATTATCTAAGTAATAGAGCAAATTAAGTTTCACCTTTTCCCCTGAATTGCCATAATAACTGACCAGAAAAGGAGTAGGGGAAATTTTACAGTTTCTTAAATAATCTATTTTTACTCATTTTTTTCCATATAATGCTGGGTATTTCTAATGTTATTTCTATTTATACTGATTATCATAAAGTCATAGTTGAGGTTGATGGTAAAGTATATGGAATAATTTCCTTTAATTATTCTGAACCTGATATCGATACTCTGTCAAGATGAAACACACCATTTATTAACTGTTTTTATAAAGTTCTTCAATAAGAACATGAATGGGAAAAGAAAGAACATTAAATTTAGACTATAACTAGAATAAATACCTTTTGAAAAATGTGTTCTCAATACCAAAGCTATCTCTGTTTCCACAGTATTTTGCCTAGAGGGATCTAGTTATCCATTTACTAAGCTACTGGTAATGGAGCAACTACTATTTAAGATACTATTTTAGATCCAGGATAGGCTGATCAAAATAGTTGTGCCTCCTTACCTCAATTCATAATCATGTAAAAAATTCTGTTTCTGGTTATTGACTTTTCAAATAAATAAATAACTTGTTATTAGTTAAGAAAAAAGCTAAACAAAGTTGTTAATGATACATTTTGGTTTTTTTTCCAGATTACAGAATTACCCTTAAATTAGGATGTCAGATTTTCTTCAAGATTTATTTATTAAGATTAAAAGATACTCCCTCGAGTAACAGAATCAATCTCTCCCCTCCCCACCACACACAAATATAATGTACATAATTCAAAAACTTAATGTGGCAAATTAGAAAAAGTCAGGGTCTATCTTAAAATATTACTCAACGTCTAAATTAACTAGGAAATCACATAAACCCTCTTTGTGAATGTATCCAGAGTATCCCCTCACATCTTTAGGGGACACACCAAATACATAACAAGGGCTGGGTGTCAAGTGATTCAGGGAACCTTCCTCCTGTCCGCCACCAGGGACAGGACAGACTATGAGGATGGTGCCGCTAAAGTCTGCCGAGCCGTGCAGCTGGCCCCGGGGACGCAATACATCCTTGTCCTTATTTCTCCTAGTACACCGGGAAAAGATCTGATCGAAATGCTACCCTGAATGTCCTCCACACCCATGAAAAGACATCTACAGCCAAAATCACATGAACAGCTGACAAAATGCCGTCGACATTATAAATGAAAAGTGGGCGTTTATTCCTAGATCGCCACAGGTGTATTACAAACATAGTTGGAAATAGTTGGAACAGTACTTGTTTAGGGGATACCTGAATCTCACGAAAAAGAGATAAACTGAATGAGAGATTTCAAACCCCCTCCCTCAACTAAATGAGATGGAAAATGCAGTGGTATCGTGGGACGTTAAAAAAAAAAAAGACATAATTAGATTGGAAAAAATGGTTATTTTCCATTCGTTATGGGTGCTCAGCTTCATACAGACAGAGTTTTAAGTTATAAAATGAAGAACTTTACTTACCCTAATAAATCCTTTCCTAAAAAGAATCTCAACTAACTGCTTTTCTTTGGCGTCCAAAGAGCTGTGATGATATCCAATCCCCCTTGCTGCCAAAGCCTTCAGTTCGGCGCCTTTCCTTGAGAATTTCACTCGGTTAAACACCCTCTTCAAAGTCTGAAAGAAGCAAGAGTTTTAGGGATTTTGATCATCTCTTATCTAATTTTAATTTAAATCAGAATTTAAAATGGTGAAATGAAAATAACAGGCACACTATATAATAATTTAGCTAAATGAGGCCAATTATTTGAAATTAACTCTACACATAAAAAACATTTTATGGGAGCAACAGTAACTATCAGAAATGTTCCAAAGTCTTGGAGCAGAATGTCTCGCACTGTTTCACCCCATTTCAGGGGTGATAAGTACTGACCAAGCAGTAGACAATCCCCAGAGGAGGTGTGAGTGTGGCCGCTCCGGCCTGAGGGAGGTCAGATCAGCCCTAGGAGTTCTCCCTGGGGAGAGCGATTGCTCCAAGCAGAGCAGGTTCCTTACCTTACGTGGTCTGGGAAGGCGTCCTTCTCACTGTAAATTGGTCACAGATAGCCTTAAAAATATCCCTGCCCTAAGGAGGAAATCCACTTGCATGCAGAGTTTTATGTGCTAAAATAAACACTGCTTGTGAAAGAGAGAAGAAAAGAAAAAACCCCAAACCCTAAGAATCCAAAAGGAAAATACCCTCCATGTACAGTCAACTCCACAATGGGATATCAAGGACCCATGAAATGATGATGGTTCTCGAAAAGGAGGAAACCATGAAATTTACAAAAGAATGTATACAATAGAATGCACACATACGCACACAGGCATATGCCTGTATGCACCTATGTGTGTGTGTGCATGTATGTGCGCGTGTATGCGTGTGCATGTGTGTGCGTGTGGTCACAAAGACATGAAAGGTTCATCCAGAAGGGCAGTGATTACTTCCGACGGCTGGCATGGCTTTTATTGTTACTAATGTGTATTTTCAAATTCGTCTACCAAACGCATGCATTATTTGCACTATAAAACATTTTGAAGAAACGGCATACCACATTTAGATATTTCAATGTCTTTTTGGTGGCATGTTCTGACTATAACACAGAAGTCCTGAGCTTTAGAGAAATTGTGTATATATTATTTCAAGTGTATTGGACCACATGAACCGAAATATTCGGTTGAGGCGTGTGAGACCGGAGCGTGGAATTCAGGCTGTGCAAAACAGTATTGCAGGAAGAAATAAGGGAAGGGCAGCCACCCCCAGGGGTTAACTATTAACAAGCAAGAAATCATCTATAAACCTAATCCTGTCTTCTTCAAACATGCTCTGCAGAGCCCTCAGGGTTAGGTACAGACAGAAGGCCACGCACAAGGATTTCTATTCTGGAAGCGACGGCACTGAGGTATCACACCCAGCAGCGTCTGGAGCTGCGCAGTAGTAGCGGGAGTGTGAAATGGTTTCCAGGAGCATTGCTCCATCCTAAGGGCTCACCTCAGCATCTATGGCCTTCTGATCTGCATATGTGCAGTCCTGAGGGATCTCCAAGCTCTTCTCAAAAACCTTGAGGAGACTAGCACATTCAGCTTCATGGATTAGGCTTTGATCCATTTTTCTGGGATTTTTCTGGCTTCTTTTATCTCTGTTTATAAAAACAAATTTGAAGTGATGAACGGCCACATTTGGCCGCCACAGGAAGCCCAGGACATCCTTGATCCCCTCATCACCCAGACATTCACTGCTACATACACCCAGAGCACCCTGAACCAACCTTCTACCTCGGAAGCCTCTGGAACTTGTGGTCCCTCATTAGAAAAGTCCCCTATTGTGTCTGAATATTCCCCTCCCTTCCTCCTACTCTAAGCATCCTTCTTGCCAAATCCAGTTCTCCCAATATGACCCCCCCTGTCCCGTGCTAAAGTGATGAGCATTTTCTCTTTCACAGGCTTGGAGGAAGGTAGGTGCCCTCGGCTCCACATGGCCGAGTACAGGCCAGCTCCTTCTCTCTCTCCTCCTGCTACAGCAGCTCTGAGTTTGGTTGCCAAGGGCTCTTGGCGACACCATCCCCTGCAGAATTGCCCTCTGCTGACAAGAGCTCCCAAGAAATGCCTGTAAGGTTACAACACCTCCTGGGACTGGGAATGTGGCCCCCAGCCAGTACCTGACTGATAAGAGGTACACGAAACAGCCCCCTCGACCCACGCTGGCACGATCCTGCAGTGCACCCAGGCCTCCCAGTTGGCCAGGGTCAGCAATATTCCAGCAACACCACACCCTTATGCCTCTTCCTCACTTTTCCTCTGTTGCTTCGTCGCTTTCTTGCAGGTCCTGCTCAAGCACACCCCTTCAAGAGATCACTTCCATGAGGTCCCATCTCAGATCTCTGCGAGGAATCTGGCCTAAGACACTGCCCCACAAACACTGGCTTAGAGTCAGTCACCAAAGCGCATTATCCATCACTCCACGGGAACCACCTTTCACAGACACCCACATCTCTGGTCCTTTCTTGGTTTGTCTCTGGTGAATGAGAAAAGCTGCTGCCATATCAGTAAACAAAGGATGCTGCAGCCGTCAAGCCAGTACAGTCACCCCGACGGTGAACCCTGAGGGAACTCAGGATGGAGACTCATGGGCTGCCCACCGCCAAGTCCGCAGCCTCTGCAGCCCGCCTCCATGGTGCACCCCGAGGGGACTCAGGATGGGAAAGCACAGGACACTGGCCCCAGCGCTGAGGTGCAGATCAAAGGAATGTTTTCAGTGAGCCCAGACTCTTGCATCTTCCCATACACTGAAAAGTGCTAAACTCCTTAACTTGAGATGTCTGGTTTTCTTTAATTAAGAGTCATCTTTTGATGTTCCGACTACCTGGCCTTTGTTGCAAAAACTCCTCTATATCCTGGCTCCCCCCTTACCTCTTGGGAGCAGCCCCTCAGAGCTGTCTGAGAGGCTGAGTCCCGGGCTTAAGTCCTTAGAACGTTCAGGAAATAAAACCTAATTCTCAACTTTTAGGCTGTGCTTTTTTTTTTTGGTCAACACTCTCGCCTTTGCACATAAGACAGCTCCTAATATGAGAATATGTGCTAACCAGTGTCCCGTCTAACTCCATTTCAGGGGTGAGAAATACAGATCAAGCAGTAGACGCACCATCAACTCACTTCCTGGGACATTCCCTTCACCTCCAAGGGCAATGCCGGGACCAGCACAGGCAGAGGGCTAACGGAGGCCCCCATACTGTTGTCTAAGGATTTCTAAGTTTTAAATTGAGGTACCAAACTTTCAGATAAAATACATCCTTCTCCTACCCCGACAAATAAAGCTCTGTAACCACCTGGAATCTGAAGGGTGAGAGTGAGCTCCAGAGGGATGTCTCCTGAGCTGCACCAACTCCTAATTTTAAGGGAATGGCTGCAGATGGGGAGGCCGGCTTGGGGTTCTCTGAAGCACAGGGCCCAGGGCAAGGGTCTCAACACTCTCAGTGTAATCATGGTGCTGAACGAGGTAGGAAAATGCTGACTGAAAGAAAATGCACAACCTAGAAGTTGAGAATTACGTTCTATTCGGTGGACATTCTTAGGACTTCAAGCCCAGGAGACAGCATCTCACATAACTCTGAGAGACTGCTCTGAGGAGGTGATGGGAGGAGCCAGGATGCAAAAGAGTTTTTGCAACAAAGACCAGGTGGTCCGAACATCAAAGGATTACTGCTAATTAAAGAAAACCAGACACCCCCCAGTTAAGGAATTTAGCGCTTTTCCATGTATGGGAAGATGCAAAGTCTGGACTCACTGGAATCATTCCTTTGATGTGCACCTCAGCTCTCTGGGGCCAGTGTCCTATGCTTTCCCATCCTGAGTCCCCTCAGGGTGCACTGCCGGGGAGAGTGGTGGCTTGATGGCTGCAACATCCTTTGTTTACCGATATGACAGCAGCATTCTTAGTTCACGAAAACATTCATCTTATTTTTAAAGCTTGACTTGTTGGTCACTAATGCAACGTGACGCCGTGACTGCCAGCGTCCTGAAGAAAAGCCGTCTAAGGACTAGTGATTGAAAAGGCTGACACCTACCATCACTTCCAGGGAAACAGAGTAACAGGCAGAAGGAAGAGACACAGAAGTGGCAGCAGGAAATTCTGACCTGCTCCAGAACGTGAAAAATCTGAGCCCAAGAAGCTCTAAAAGCTGTTTCAACTTTCAGGGAAGTAACTACCAATCATTGCAAAATATTTATGGACCAGCTGTGACCTGCCAAGCAATGTGTTAAGACTGTGTAAGCAGCTCTTTGCAGGAAACCGCCCTCAGCAGGAAGCCCCTTTCCTTGTCACTTTAGCAGAGCTGTATCGTGACTTTTCACCAGGCATCCCAGGCTCTACTCATCTCCGGCCCAAGCACACCTTTCAAGTCTCTAGATCACGCAATACTTTGCCTAACGTACCGGTTCTTTCTGCAGATCAAAGGGGGAGGAGAGAAGTAATTAACGGGTGACCAGGTCTCTTCCCAAGCTTCCCCTTCAGTAATCTCCCCAGCAAACGGCGTGACCGAGAGCACACCTAGAGGCAGATGGCGAGGATTCCACGGGCCTGCACACGGTGGCGGACGGCGAGGACCCTGACCCCCAGCTCAGTGATTACTCCCCTCCTTCCCTTGAAAACTTCCAAGGCCGAACAGACTCTCAGAAGTGGTTTGGGGGGAACACTGAGTCCACCATCTCCCCACGTTGCCGGCATCCTGATTAAAGGAACCTTTCCTTTCTGCCGACATCTGTGAGTATGTAATCGGGTCCAGCGAGACTCAGGACCCGAGTCATTCGCTAACAACTGGACATATTAATAAGAAGAGGAAAACACAGGGTCCCTGCTGTGAGAGAGCTTAACGATTTAGGAAAAAGACAGCAACACATCATAATCGACCTACTAAATACTCTGCAGCGTAGCAAGAGCCCGGGAGAAAGGGCACTATTTCTAAGTGGGGCATGAGGGCAAGCTTCAGAGAGGCACAGCGAACTCATGAGCAGAAGCTCTGGGGGCGAGCGGGAAGGAGGGACTCAAGCAGAAGGGCCACGTCACGGGAAAGTGCAAAACTCCAGACACGGTGGTCCACCAACAACGGCCCAGGAGAAGGAACAGTGAGCGTGGGTAAGTTAATCAATGAGAATGTCAGCAAGAGCGGTGTCAGCTACACCACAGCGTGGTGTGCCTCGAAGCTCCCAAGCCCAAGAAGAAGACCTCTGTGATCACCCGAGGAAGATGCGGGCCCATCCAGACCAGGCTGCCACTGAGGATGGGAGGGTGGGAGGAAGGAAAGACGCAGTCATCAGAATTAGACACACGAGAACAAGGCGGGAGCCAGGAGCACACACAGTTCTCCGAAGCACAGAACGGGCCTGCAAATAAGGGACAGCTAGGATGTCTGTAGAGCCCAGTGTACATTCCTGTTGGGACCTGTGACGTATTTCAGCCTTCCAACCACCAGTGTGTTGAGTCACATACTCACATTTTCTTCTGTGTCTCAAGGGATTTTCTAACTTTTCGAAGTTTTCTCTCCATGTCGTAGGCCTCCTTATCAGCCTTGAGGGGCATTCTGCTCTGTTGCTTTATCACTAGGAACCTTTTCACATTTCTAGCGCTTCTCTCTACAGCCCCTAAATTAAATCTGGAAGCAAAGAAAAAGAACGCTTGCCTTGAAAGTCATGTGATAAATACAATTCAGTCATATAGCCGCCCACTGCTGTCATCCTGACACACAGCTGTTGAGCTTCTAATCTCCACTTTTATGAGCATCATCCTGAACAGGCACCTGAGGTGTTCTGGGTCGGCAGACCCATCATTAACCGCCTTACAGGAAACATTAACTGTCTCCTGGGGCAACAGCAAGCAGAGCCCCCAGAGACTCCTCCTGCAAGAGGGGTCAGGCACGCCACAGGCAAGGAACAGGTAACAATGGATTTTCTCTATTTACAGAAGAGAGATGTTCCTTCTTCCTCTCTTAAGAGGCGAGAAGAAATTTTTTTACTCATTTATTTTTATTGTTATTGTAGCTGTTCTTGTGTCTAACAGCATCAAAGACCCTTAGTGTTAGATAAATATATGTAAGTCCAGATTTTTTTTTTCCTCCAAAGTATAGTTGATTTACAATATCACGTTAGTTTCAGTTGTACAACACAGTAATTCAGTATTTTTGAAAATTCTATTCCATTTAGGTTACTACAAGATCAAGGCTATCATTCCCCGTGCTATACAGTAGGTCCTTGTTGCCTACCTAGTATATGGTAGTTTGCATCTGTTAATCCCAAACCCCTCATCTGTCCCTCCCCACTTTTCCTCTTCCCTTTGGTAGCCGGAAGTTTGTTTTCTATGTCTGTGTGACCGTTTCCGTTTTACTTATACATTCATTTGTATTATTTTTTAGATTCCACATATCTAAAAATATGATAGCATACAGTATTCGTCTTTCTCTGTCAGACTTATTTCACTAGAGAATATTATGGTTAGTGAAATAAATCAGATTTCTTGACGGCCAAATCTTCTGTGAATTTTAGTGCCTCCTTTGCTTTTCTCTGTGTGTTTCTGTTTTCAGTTTTATTGAGACAAAACTGACATATAACGCTGCATACGTTTAAGTTATACAAAACATGACAAGTTGATAAAGGTAAACATAGCAAAATGATGACTATAATAAGGTTAGTTCACAAAACCACCACCTCACAAAGTTACCTTTTTTTCCTTTTGTGGTGAGAACATTTCAAATCTACTCTTAGCCACTTTCAAGTATGCAATACAGTATTGTTACCTGGAGTCACCACGACGGAATTAGATCCTCAGGACTTATTCATTACATAACTGGAAGTCTGTACCTTTGACCAGCATCTCTCACTTTCTGTCACTCCCATGTCCCTGGCAACCACTAATCTACTCTCTGTTTCTATGAGTAAGGCTTTTTCAGATTCCACATACAAGTGAGATGGTACAGTAAAATTTTGCTCTTTTAGGTAGGATGGAGAGAATTGGGGGTTTTCATCCTAACTTCTTGGATTGTGACTATTTCTTTCTAGAGACCAGGTAAACCCAGGGGTTACTGGCCTCTACAATCCAGAAATGTCTCCAGAGTCTGGGCTTTATACCTTTTGAAATGGAAATACCTAGGGACATATGGTCCAGACTTCCCGGCACCTTGGGACTTAAACTAGCATATTGTAAGGCTACTTTAATTTTAGGTGGGGCAACTGTGTGCATAAACTTTCTATCTCTTTTGTAAAAAACCTAGGTATTGACTGAAAATTAACAAGACCTAATTAAAAAGACACTAGTTTATAGTAAAAGGAGAGGAAGAAATGGAGAAAGAAAACCACGTAAAGAAGGTGATGTGTAATAGCACAAGTAAAATTATTTTTGTAAGAACTAAACTAGAAAGGTATAGTTTTAAATATGCACTCTAATAACAAAAGGGCACCAAATATCATACTGAACGCTATTTTACAAGAGTCAAGTTTGTGTAACTTCCCTCTACTTAAAAGAATGCATCTAATGCAAATTACAACCAAAAACAAATTAAATGACTTACAAAAAAAACAGTGCAGGTAACTTCTCCATTTGCCTCAGCTTTTCAACAAGACGTGGAAACATAAATGCCATGTTTTCTGAACTAACAACCGAAGGAGGACGGAGATTCCTCAGGACCATTCTGGCCTGTGGCAGTGAAAAGAAAATTATTGTAAGTTCTGCGTAATGAAGACATGAATTCCTGCTTCTGGCTAAAACATTTTCATAGTTATCTAATCTATATTTCTGTGGTTCTTTAATAGACTATGTAACAAAAATAATGAAAGTATAAGATAAAACACTGCAAAAGAACCATCAAAGAAATATATAAATCAACATTTAGATATCATATACGAGAGAACAAAAAGATAAACAGTAATACCCATGCGCGTGCGTGCGTGCAATTTAACATGCAATTTTTTAAAGCAACACAAATCAGTCAGGAAGAGGGTTATTTGGTAAATGATGCTGGTTCCACTACATGGCAGGAGGTGGGGTAAATCAGTTTCTCTCTACATCATGTAACATATATATACATGATATAAGTTTCTCTCTATATCACGTATCACTCACAAATACATTTTAAAGGTTTTTCTTGACAAAGTAAGTGGAATAAAATATAATTATACAGGAGCAGGAGGTAAGTTAAAATAGAATGGGAAAAACTCACCTGAGAAAACTCTAATGTATGTCACACCCCCAAAATCAGAAACCTTAATACGTGACAACAGAGCAAACTCCAAAATAAAAAAGACCAGCCACTTACTTAAAACAAATGTGCACAACTCATACGACCCCGGACTAAGGTTGTAATACAAAAATAGTTCCTACAAATTAAAATAAAAATCATAAAAGAAAAAAAAACTTTCCAGATGAAAAAGAGATAAAGGGATGAAAAGCCCTTCTCAGCTGCTGTCACTGTGATTCCCGAGCATCATGATCAGGAAAGGGCCCCTCTGTACTCATCCGTCAGAACGTGGAGCACACGTCACGGGAGGGACAGAGGACAAGACAAGGACATAGGTCCTTTCTCTCTCTCTAGTCTATCTCAGAATCACTGGACTTCGTGCTCAACTGAAAATCCTACAATGGAAGCTGAAGATTAAAGAAAGCCAGAAAATAGTAATGACTGCACAGCACAACTCAAGGGGACAAGAACACACAGGCGCTTCACCCGAAACACGTGTGATAATTCCCTCCTTGACGTGCCGGCTCTTCACCCAGCCCGTCAGTTCTGCCTTTAAGCTCTCTTCGTACTTTCTAGCATCCATCTTTCGAATGACTATTTTATTCTTAAAATGAACGAATTCCTCTGGACACAACTCCTTGAAAAGGAATACCACAGAATTCAATAAAATCACGCAAGAAAATCCAAAAGTGTTATCTCAGCAATATGTCTCATTAACAGAATTACAAGCGCCTTGAGAGTACAGGATGAACTTCTATCTCCCCATCATTTCTGGTGTGTAAACTTAATAGGATGGCGAACGCTTAAGGCAGAATGTGCAGCAAAACCAAACAGGAGATGAACAAAGATGGACAGAGAGAAGGCAGGGGCGTGAGAGGAGAGAAAGGCAGGAACAGAAACCCGGGAACCAGCACACAGGAGGGGAGATGAAAGGACTGTCCTATCACAGAAAGTGAAAGAGGAAGCGTGCTCAGGAGTTCAGGGGTACTCCGCCCAGTTACAGGAAAACACAGACCGTCAGGAGGAAGGCTGTCTAGAGAAGGGGCAACCTTATTTTGGAAAGAGTCCACAGGTAACTTTCAAAGATCAGGTGCAAGTGATTAGAAAGAGTGAGAGCTTGTCTTTGTGAGCAGCAGTTACCATCCACTTCAATCAATTCAAAATAAATGCAGAATTACTATTTACCTGAGCCCTGGGCCAACCTTCCCAGAATTCAAACATGGTATCATAAAGCTGGATCATTTCTCGAGGTGAAAGGGTAAGATCAGAAGGGAATCCAAACTTGTCAATCTATGTTTAAAATAAAATTGAAAAATTTAATATTCCTTCTATTCCATCTGACGTTCCATCCTCTGCCTCAGCATCACTCATTATCATGAACCCAAAGACACTGAAAACAGCACTGATCTAACATGCCCAATAGTGGCTCAGCGCAAACAAAATACTAACCAAGAGTGTCCCTGATTTACTAATAGAGAAAAAAACTCAAAAGCCCACCGAAAGGTTTTTGTATTTCCTAAGACCTTTCAGCTGAGCCAATTCTCTTAGGAGGGCCGGGAGGCTCAAAGATCTGTGGACTCAGTTTAGACAAGAACACACAGCCTCCACCCTGTAACTGGAAGTGGAACTGATTTAATTATGAATGTGATTCCTGGCTTTTGAGTACCAAGCCAGGCTAAAAGGGGCAAATCTGGTTTTCTCAAGTCCTATGATAACTTGAAGGTCACCTTCACGACACTCCAGGAAACTTCTCCCCAGGTTACTGACTTGGTTCTGCTAAGCCTTCTGGATATCCACGTCATTATTTTTCCACAAATATTTAAAAATATAAATTAAAAATTCCTGTTCTCCAAAAGCCTGTACTGCAGTAAATGCTACTGGATTCAACCACTGTTGCTACGAATCCACTGCTTGTGGAAACTATGATCCCTGAGACGCTGGCAGGTTTTCTTCAAAAGAAAAGTTGGGGACAGGGGGGTTTTATTCTAGGAATCGGCTTCCTCAAGGGTTCTCATTGGAAACGTTAAATCTCCAAGAAGGGGCTACAGTATCCAGGTTTCTCCAAAATTATTTGACAATAGGGAACTTGTTTTTGTAAACAGCTGCTAAGTTATGAAACTCAGGTTTGGAAGTTCTGGGCTAAAAAAAGCCACCCCAAATGATACAGCTGAAAAAAATTGTTTGGTTGGATGGAAAGTGCAATCAAGTTTGAATCAGAAGATCTAGGTCTAATTCCACCTCTAAATGCTGGTTCCTCATCTACAATACAGGATCAAAATATCTGTCTTGCCACCTCACAGACTGTGCTAAAAGCAAACAAGATAAATACATCAGCACAGGTTTTTTTAAACTTTTTAAACTAGTAGATAAATAAGTCTTGAAGAGCTAATGCCCAGTATGGTGATTACAGAAAACAAAGCTGTATCATGAACACCAAACATGCTAAGAGACTAGATCTTAATTGTCCCACCACAGAAAAGGGATGAGGGGGGGCTTCCTGGGTGGCGCAGTGGTTGAGAGTCCACCTGCCGACGCAGGGGACGCGGGTTCGTGCCCTGGTCCGGGAGGATCCCACATGCCGCGGAGAGGCTGGGCCCGTGAGCCATGGCCGCTGAGCCTGCGCGTCCGGAGCCTGTGCTCCGCAACGGGAGAGACCACAACAGTGAGAGGCCCGTGTACCACAAAAAAAAAAAAAAAAAAAAAAAAAAAATGGGGATGAGGGGCTTCCCTGGTGGCTCAGTGGTTAAGAATACGCCTGCCAATGCAGGGGCCATGGGTTCTATCCCTGGTCCGAGAAGATGACACATACCGCGGAGCAACTAAGCCCGTGCTCCACAACTACTGAGCCTGCGCTCTAGAGCCCGTGAGCCACAACTACTGAGCCCGTGCACCACAATTACTGAGCCCGCATGCCTAGAGCCCGTGCTCCGCAACAAGAGAAGCCACCGCAATGAAAAGCCTGCACACCGCCACGAACAGTAGCCCACACTCGCCACGACTAGAGAAAGCCTATGCGCAGCAACGAAGACTCAACGCAGCCAAAAATAAATAAATAAATTTTAAAAAATAATAAAAAGTAAAAGATGTTAAAGATAAAAAAAGAAGGGATGAGGACTCAGACTGGACACAGGTGGCAGACACACTGCAAAATAAATGTACCAAATCAACACGCTGCACCCCTTAAACTTATACAAGGTTTTATGTCAAACGTATTTCAATTAAAAGAATCAACCGGGCTTTGAATGAGGCTTGTAAAAATCTATAGGATGCAGGTGATTTCCTGGAATCACTGTTTATAGCATCTCAGTCTGAGCACTGAACTAACTGAACAGAAAAAGCTACATTTTGCCAAATAGTACGTGAATATGTTATTTTGGAATGTTAGCATTTTCTTCTCTTATTATTACTACTTAAAAGTGGCAGCTTATTTTGTCTAAATAAAATAAAATAAATCCAAGAACTATCATAATTTTTAAGACACAAATCTTCTGTTTTCGTCATGAGAATGCTTATGATTTCTTAGGGCTTTTAAGCTTTTAAAAAAGCCTGCATGTCCATATTTCTACCATGGAGGGCAACTCTGCTTTTGCCACGGATTTGTTGTCAGAATTAAGTTACGTAACACGTGGCATAGGCCTAGTAAACTGCCTGGCACGTGATCGATGCCTCAACTCTCGCGGTGACTGATGAATGACCAACCTACAGGTCTTAATGTTTTTAATCAATTTCACGACTCCGTGGCTAAAAGCTGGGCATTCCCTTCAGTTGGTCTTCACTATACGATAACTTACGAGCTGGTAAAAAACTGAGCCAGCACAGGTGTAAAAGGAAGAGACATAAAAGGTCACAGATTCACACCCACCTTCATTTATGAACACACAGCATTACTCACGATGTTGTCTGGGCAAATCACATCGTCCCCAACCTCGCAGGTGACGGAAGCACTGCTCCACGTGCAGGCGAAAAAGACCAGTGGCTTGGCTCCTCCCACATTTGCTGGGGCTGACACCGTCATCCCACCCCACCCCGACTTGCTTTTTTATCACTGATGCTTTAGGAAACATCCCATACACACAGGTGCCAAAACACATATTTAACACTGTCCAAGCCCCATTCCTATTGCCAATGTCCGGGAGCCTGAAGGAGACTCATGCAGCAGCGTGACGTTTGCAGAGGTCACATGGGGTTACGGGAGCTGGAGCAGCTTCCCAGTTGTTCCATTAATAAGTACTGAGATAGAGGAAAGGCACTTGGACCAAAATGCCTGCCTCACCAAGTTCTCCCAACCACCGTACTCACTGCTGTTTAAAGACAACCTTCCCTGAACCATCTAAACACAACAAGTGACTGTGAAAATACTACGCTACTTAAAAACGCCAGGAAATAACATGGAAAGAGAAGAGAAAAGGAGAGAAAGACAGAGAAAGGAGTCTTGTTATCAATTTGTGGGTTACCATCACTATTCTAGTTTGGGGATGTGAGTTAGGTCACAGGAATTTTTTCCACATTTTAGTTTTCTTTAGAGTGTAGATAGAGCCACTGCCACACAAAAGAGAAAGTTCCATAATAAAATCCTGTTGGAAAATTACCATCGCTAGGATTCATTCTGTTGCTTTTAGAAGCTACTGCATCACAGCCCAGAGGCTATAAAGTGATTCTCACTCACTCCCTCACCTAGGCATTTGTCCACCAGATTGTCCAGAATACAGTGATAAGACTGCAGGCTCTGGAATCGGTCTATCTGAGACTGCATCCCAGCCCCACCCCTTCCTCAGTGGTACAAGTTCTCTCTGCCCCACCTTCCTCACTTGCCAAATGGGAATATCAATACAGCATGTATCCTAAAATTGTGATGGTTAAAAGAGACAAAATATGTAAAATTCTTAGAACCCAAAGTAAGTGCTCCATTTGGGTTGGCTATATTTGTGTAATATACATTTTAATTTTATATACATAGCAGTTAGCTACAAACTACAAGGACACAAAGTCTGTCTTCAAGGACTTAGTGTAGTAAGAAGACAAAGCATGTAAAGAACTTCAGCAGCAAGCTGACCATAACTGTTGTCACACAAGAAAAATATAGACAAGGTGCTATGGAGAGAAGATTCCATCCAGCTAAGGAAGTCACAGAGGATTCTGAAGGTTTCCCATTAGAAGAATCACCAAAGATGAACAGAGTCTGGACAACGGGCACTTTGCATCTGTGCTGAAACACTCCAGTTTATATATAAATCATGAGGGCTTCCAGGTAAAATCCATCAAGTAGATGAACAGAAAGGACCTGGGGCCAGTTCCTAGAAGACCTGGGAAGCCTAGCTAAGGAGCTGTGCCTTTTGCCGGTTCCAAAGAAAAGCCATTAGAGGCTCGGCAGGATCAGAATTATCCTTACTAATTATTTATCTAAATTAGCTTTCTGATCCAGATGATTATTTAGGCAGAACATGGAACTGCTCCCTGTGACATCAAATATCTTAAATAAAGAAAACTCCATGCGCCTGAAAAATTCTCCATTTAGAAGGCTCATCTGACAACAGAATTTAGAGGACATTTAACTTATCCAGTCTTGGAAGGAAGGCAAACTATTGCTTAATTATCACTTTGAGAGGCAACCAGAGCTTTAATGGGCTATTCCTGAGAATAGAAGGAAAAAGGAAAAATAATATGCAAGAAAAATTAAGAAATCTTCCCCCACTCAAACCCCAGCGCGCCACATGAGGTCCCCTTAAGACCTCCACCTTACTGATTCACTACCAAAAAGTCATATGATTGCTATGTTAGTGAAAAGCGCCTTTCCCTTGTTTGACCCAATTCACGGCAATCAGATTCTCACACGTACAAGGTACCTGCCCACACACAGTTGTAGCTGCATTAAGAGAAGCGTTAGTGTCCTTGAAGGTGGACAGATGGGACACAGGTGCTGAGAAGGAAAATGCACAAAGAATAAAGAAAATCGACCCCCAAAAACGTCAGGTTAAGATGTTCAGTCATTCGTAAGCTTTGCAGATGTAGACACCACTGAGGAGCAGATGAAAACTGTGAAGTTATTCTTGTTACTCTTAAAACTCAGGTTCAATATCTGTTACAGAGCATCGATTCTGTAATTCTGAGGAGTGTCACCCAGGCAGCTTTGCAATATGATACAAACCACCGACGTGGCTCACAACAAACATGGCGGAACCATCACTCACATGGTCCGTGGTCAGCGCAGCGCACGGGTGAAAATGGTCAAAGGAGATGTCATGATTGTTTACTGAACATATGTGCTTCTCTAAATCATTGTATCTCTCTGCATAGAGCACTGGAAATGAAGAGCAAGGATTTCCAAATGAATGAACACACAATGGCTGGAATAACTTGAAAGGAAACGATAATATTCCTATGAATATGTCAAACATACCAAGTCTCACTTTATACGACTGTTTCATCAGTAAGCAGTCTCGGTGAGAACTGGCGCGGCAGCCGGCATTTCTTGAAGAAGCAGAATTTTTTTCCATCATACTGTCTGTCTGTTTCCAGTACTGTTTTACGGATCGTAGCCACCTTAAAAATTAAAATTACGTATTATTTAGGCAGAACATGGAACCACTTCCTGTGAAAGGATTTTAAAGTACTTTAAATAAAGAAAATTTTATGTGCCTTAAAAATTACTTAAGGGAATAGGCCCTGGAGCCAGATGACCTAAGATCGAATCCCAGCCTCCTTACCAAGGGCTGAAGCTCTTGGTTGGATCACAAAATCTCTCTGGGCCTCATTTTCCACATTTAAAATGGAAATAATAGTAGCAGTATGGAAAAGACTATCTAACAGTAGTAATGAAAATAATAAATCATGAGGGTTGTTGGCCATTTAAAATAAATTAACATATGCAAAGCACTTAGAACAGCACCTGGCAAACAGGAGCCTTTGCTGTAATTCTTGTTGTTAGTGGGCAAAAATCCAGCCCAGTGAATAAATAATATGGGGTTTTCAACTAATAAGGCTTCACTATCTTTCTAAACATCTACAAAGTGGGACAACATAAGAAATCTCAAGGTCCATGGCAGAGCATGTCATTATACCATTTTAATTTTATTTCTTGGTAAAGGACAAAGAAAAAGAAACATAAATCGATAACTTCCGGTGAACCTTTTTTGAGATATGGGGGAAATTTCCTAGTCAGCTGCAGATCCAGCTGGGAGAACCCTTGATTTTCCTTTATAGAGTGTGGGCTTGCTCAGCACCTGCCAGGAGGGGTGACTCTGGTTCCTTGAATATGCAGAGATAAGGTAATAAATTCACCAGAAAGTTATGAAACTCTCCAGAACCCAGATAGAAAGCATGACATTCAAACATTCAAAACAGTTAAGCATTGTATCCGGACTGGAAGCTAATGCCTACTCGGTGAGATGCTCCGGGTTGCTGATGGTAGCAGAAAGGGCCAGGAAGGGACAGCGGATCATGACAAGGAGGTGCTCCCAGACCTCTGCTCCAATTTCTCCACCAAGACAGTGGACCTATTAAAGACAAAAATTCTCCATTAAAAATGAGCAGGAGGTCTGAAGAGATATTTCTCCAAAGAAAACAAACAGATGGCCAACAGGCACATGAAAAGACACTCAACATCGCCAGTCATCGAGAAATGAAAATCAAAACCACATGAGATATCACTCTCATCTGTCAGAACGGCCATCATCAAAAAGAACACAAATAACAAGTGTTGGCAAGAATGTGGAGAAAAGAGAACGCTTGTGCACTGTTGGTGAGAATGTAAATTGGTGCAGCCACTGCGGAAAACAGTATGGAGGTTCCTCAAAAACCTAAAAATAGAGTTACCATATGATCCAGCAATTCCACTTCGGGGTATTTATCCAAAGAATACCAAAAGATATAAGCAACCCCCGTGTTAATTGCAGCACTATGTATAACAGCCAAGATATGAAGCAATCTAAGTGTCCACTGGAGGATGAGTGGATAAAGAAATTGTGGTATGTATATGCAGAATGGAATATTATTCAGCCATAAAAAAGAATGAAATCTTCCCATTTGTGACAACATGGAAGGACCTCAAGGGCATTATGCTAAGTGAAATAAATCAACAAATCAGACATAAAAAGACAAATAATGATCTCACATGTGAAATCTTAAAAAAAAAACCCACACACACAAAAAAACAAGCCCAAAGACATAGAGAACAAATAGGTATTTGCAACAGGTGGGCATGGGAGAAACGGGTGAACTGCTTTTATTTGTTTCAGTTTAGTTTAAATAAATTAATTTCTCAGTTGATTTAAAATCAGCAAATGAAAATAAGACAGGGAAACTTGAATCATCATACGTGGTCTCCAATTACCTTTAATCAACCATGCCAAGTTTACGTAAATATTGGCAAATTCAGGCAATAGAAAATCTTGACACAAATTCTTTTAATTCCCATAACCAATCCATCAATAATTCCTCTTTATCTTACTTTCCAAAATGTCTTTCAGATCTAAGCATTTTCTCCATGTCCACGGCCCCCAAGTCAACCATGATACCCTCCTGGCCACCCTCCTAGCTTCCCAGGCCATCCCCTGAATTCTTCACATCACAGCCAACAGATACGTCTCAAGGATGAATTCCATCAGGCCATGTCCACAATTATATTTCTTCAATATCTTCCCATTGCATGTGGAACAAAATATAAACTCCTGAACAGGGCGTATATGTTGTGCTGGGAGTAACCGCCCCCGACCTGCCTCTCCAGCTTCATTCAAGCCTCTCTCCCATCCTGCCCTCACTTTTCTCCGGACACACTGAACTTCGCTTTGTTCCTTGACCACAACTTTCCTACCCCGGAGCTTCCACATATATTGTTCCTTCTGCTCTTACCCCCTTTTGAACTTGCAGAGTTCGGTTCAATGTCGCCCCACTAGAAGACTTTCTGACCAGCCACCACAGAGCCGTCCCCCTGCTGTCTCCCTGCCATCACCACAGTGGGGTCACACTGATCCATCTCGTCACCATACACACTGATGCGGGCTGCCACCGTCATGGGTAGGCGTAGCTGTCTATCCCCTTTTTTCCAATGACTCTGTGACTTACCCTGGGCATTCCCAGCACCAACAGTGCCTGGCATTGTGGAGATACTCCTTATATATTTGCTGAATTAATGAATGGCTTTTGACCAAATAAAGCAAATGGAACTAGATTTAGGGAAGATTCTCAAATGTGGTCTCCTTTAAACAGATTAAACTATGACACCCGGCAATCAACTGGAAAGAACTTACCATCAGAGCCAGACAATTAAAAAAAAGAAAAAACTTCCCCTGCCCATTTGGCTTTGCCCTAGTCAGATAATACACCAGTCCGCTGAGTGGTGACCTTAGGCTTCGTACGGATAACACACTTCCTTGGTTCTGCCAGAATAGACCTCAGTCTCCAAAGCCCGTCAGCTTTACCCTGACATCAAACTGGGGAAACTGAGGTACCCCATGTCACAGCATTTCAAAGCTTTGAGACTAGAGTACAATTCAAGGTTCTAGATTGCAAAGACAAAGCTGTTGGATTTTTTTTTTCAATATGAATATTCAAGGCCTTCAGGATGTAGCATATATAGAATGAGCAAAAAAAAACCCACAGGAAGTCAGATTCAAACCAATCAAAAGCATAGCTTGCTTGGTAGCTTCAAGCTTACGACAGGAAAAATTAAGTAAAATACAGGCTTATCATCACTTTCCCCTTTAAACTGAAAACCCCTTGGAGCAAAAGAATTCTTTTATAATGCTTTAAGTCTCTTTGAATAAATATTCTTAATTCTGCCGTAAAAACTTTCTCAGTATCCTTCATCTGCTCTATAAATGTCCATCATTTTCCATCCTGCTCTCTCTGCCCAAGGAAACTGACCCACAGAGGGTACTTTAAAAGAGCTCCAATGCTCTCTGGTTCCACTGGCTTTGGCCAAAGGAGAGCCTGGGCAAGAGACCTGAAGGGAATGAGGGTGAGGTCTTTGTGCCATTGGCTGCCTTCCTGGCAGGTTACCCTGAGCCAGGTGTGCTCCTCAGCTAAGCCAGCTGCCCCTTGCAAAGCGGCCAGCACACTCAATCTCCCTGTGGGTCTCGGTGACCATATCTTTCCTTGTCCCTTTAGGCTGAGGGGTAACCTCCTCGCCCTGGGCTACTGCACTAACGGCACAGTTCCCCCCGCCCACACACCTTTGCAAAAAGCTCTTCCTGAATTCTTCCATTTTGCATGTGCCATCTGTTTCCTGCTGGGACCATGACTGACAAGATACTGTACATAACTGACATCATTGTTATAGCCCCAAACTCTTTGCTTTGGAGATCAAAGATCAGATTTTTGGAATCTCTGTCCAAGAAAACTTATGCCCTGGTGGTGAGTTCTACTCCTCTGAAACGGTGGTCACCGAAGACAGCTCCTCTGCCATCCAGAGGTCCGCAGACACAGATACCCTGTCCTGAGCCAGAACAGGAAAACGGAGCCCAAAGACTGGCGTGATTCACAGGGGAAAGACAGTGTCCTCCGCAACTGAAACTCCACGCAGACGATGAATGCCCCGAAGCGGCAAATGTCTTCAGAGTGGCGCTTATGCGACCAGGAACTCAACCCAGAGAAATAATACCAAACCTACCTCATCAAATATAACATATCTGATCCTTTTCACCCACGCCTGGCGATGCGGAGCTAGCAGCAGAATTTCAAAGCAGGCAGGCACTGTGATAAGTACCTAAAAACAAGAACATTGTGCAAACAGACACTTCTGAGCACTTGCTACACCCAGATGTAGTTCTAAGAATATAAAAGAAAGAGTCAAAACTCCTGAATGGACCTGCTGATTAAGTAGAATATGATATATTCGTTTGAATCTTGTGAAACTGCAATTTTTATAGGTCAAAATGGTAAAATGTCAGATTTGAAGTTTAAATTCTTATTTATGAGCATTCACGGTAATAACAATAGGGAAAGTTCATTGTCGCAGGTTTATTCCTTCGAAAGCTGACCCCGAGGTTCAGTTCAGGTTGAAAACCGTTTATTAAAAATGAACAACTATGGAAGTTGGGAGAGGATGGGGCAGAGGGAGGTGAACTTCAGAACACACCTGGCGACGCTTTGGCCCACCTAGCTTGGACTCTGGAGTGCGTGGTGGCCATCCGTGCTACTCCACACGCAGCCGAAATGGCCAGTGTCTCTGCCCCAGCCCCGCTCAGTCCCAGGGTGCCGAAAGTGGGGCAGCACAGGGGCCGACAGCAGGCCTCTGTCGGACCTCACGCCCCGCCCCTGGGCAGCGGTGCTCTTACAAATGGTGATGTGGGTGTCACATCTCACATCTACCATGCAACGTGCTATAGTCACGTTTTCACTTTCTGTTTAGCTGTAACTGTTTTCAGTGAGTTTAATAAGGAGGGAAACTGTCTGATTTACTTAACACCATGAAGTCCATCCATAAATACAACAGTTTGAAATTATGATGAGTATCCTTCCCATCAAGAAAGGTCAAGAGGGGCTTCCCTAGTGGCGCAGTGGTTGAGAGTCCGCCTGCCGATGCAGGGG